CTGTTCTTGACATCTTCCAGTGGCTCCCATTTCTTTGAGTCAAAGCCCAAATCCTTTGTGGCCTAAAAGTCTCTCTATGTTGTATTTTTCTCTCATACCCCTGTAGCTATACTGGGATCCTTGTTGTTGGTTCATTTTTCCTGAGAAAGGGTCTTGCTATGTAGTTCAGGCTGGTGTTGCACTTACTACATAGTCCAGGCTGGCCTCAAACTCTCAATCCTCCTGCCCCAGCCTCCCAGAGTGCTAGGATTACAGGTGGACACCACTAAGCCCGGCTCCTTGCTATTCCTTGAGCAGCCCAGACCTGCTCTCATTTTAGGATCTTTGCAGTAGGCTCACTCCTTTACCTCCTTCAGAACTTTGCTAAACTTACCTTCTCAGTGAGGTGTTCCCTGTGTACACTATTTACAATCACAGTTTCCTTCCTGGGCTCTTTCTCTTTCACCCTGCTCTGTCTTTTCCCTACAGGCTTTTCCACCTTCTAATATGATACACACTTACTTATTTTGTTTGTTGAGTGTCTCACCTACTGAAAAGTCTGTTCCTGGTGGTCCCCAAGAGAAGGAAAATAGATGAAGCAGGCTACGAGAGAGTTTCCAGGCCAGGGCAAAGGAGATGGGACGCCAGACAGAACCTAGGGGCAGAGCTGAGTCAGAGACTGGATTTGGGGAAGGTCTCGATTCATGAGGAAGAATATGGAGAGAGGGAGCTGCATACAGAGAGTTCCAAAAATATGTAGAAGGGTCTTCAAAACTTTGATCTGTGCATGTTAGAAGTGATAAAACACAAAGATGAAAAAATAACTGGCAGGTAGGCTGGCTAGGCATGGTGGTTCACACTTGGCATCTCAGCACTTGGAAGGCTCAGGCAGGAAGATCATGAACTCAAGGCCAGCCTAGACTACATAGTGAGTTCAAGGTCAGCTTTGACCACACAGTATGACCCTTTCTCAAAACCAAACCAAACCAAATCATGAAATAAATGAGATACAGAAGGTTAAATATCAAATGATTTCTCTTATATGAGAAACCCAAAGTATAAATAATTTAAAGAGTAAAATAAAAGATAGTTTATAGGAAACAAGAGAATGTTTACAGATGGGAAGGGGATCTAGGGGTGGAGTGAAAGGGGAGGGGAAGAGGAAGTAAAAAGGATTATGATGTGATATGTTCATGTACCAAAGTCCTCATGTTGAATGTCTTTATTATGTATCACAAATATGTACTAATAAAAAACAAATTAAAACAAAGCAAAAAGAAAGCAGTCAGCTGGACAGTTTCTGGAGTTCACACACAATTGGTAACAATTCATATTCCCACTGGCTGGTAGAGGAAATCTGTAGAACTTCAAATATTGCATAGGGCCCTCAGAAAGATATTACCCTAGCCCTAGAAAAAGGCTGCTTTGGACCTACTCCAACAGAACTTCAAGACAAGCCTTAAAAGAATTAAAGTTATTCCAAATAAATGTGAGCCAGAACAAACTTCAGCACTCTTTAAAGGAATAAAACAAAATCCAGAATTCAGTAATATAAAATTTATAAATCCATCATTTCATTAAAAAATTTATAGTCATGTAATGAAGCAGGAAAATATGACTCATAACCAGAAGAAAAGTCAATCAACAGAAACAGATCCAAAAGGAGAAAAATGACAGAAATAGTAGACAAGGATATGAAAGCAATGATTATAAATATGTGCCATATGCTCAAAAATGAGGAGGAAAATATGCATAGGATGAAGAGATAAGTAGGTTTTTAAAAACCAAGTGGGAATTTATAAAGATGAAAATAGAATATCTGAATGAAAAAACCATTAAATATTCTAAATCATTCTGTTTCTGTGACTACCAAAACCACATTGGGGTGTACCCCCACCCCAATAGAAACATTTTCTGAGTAGCCAGCACTTACTCCCCTGTACTCTGAGATTGCTTTTGAGATGGCTACATTCACTTTCTTAGTTCTCTAGGACTCTGGAGAAGCAGGCTTCTTTTCTGTTTGTCTCCAAATGCAATCTGGATTTCAAATGGCAAACAACACCAACCCCCTCCCATGCCTTCTGACTGAGTACCTCCCCTCCAGCCATGAACGTCTCTCCGTCAGTCTTCACCCCACCATTAGTCATGGTGCTCTTGTAATGGGGTGATCACCTGGCTTCTGTCCTGTGGAACCCCAAGTCTGGCTAGGTTTGCATAATGCAATGAAGAATGTGGCTGGATTCGTAGGTCTGTGTAGATAAAGCACATGGTGGGAACTTCATGTGGAGGTCAGGGAAGGCTTCACTGAACAGGTGGCATTCGTGCTGGGGTGGGAAGGATGGATGCAGTCTGGACTACTGGGAACTCAGGAACAGGCATTCTGGGCAAGACTAGGCTTCACCTTGAATTTCCTCACTTGCGGTTTTCCCTTCCCATGTCTGTCTTCCCTGTGGTCTTGCCCTTCCTCATGGCCTTCATCCGTCAGCTGCCAACACTGTCATAGGCGGCCTTGCCTGGTCTGGGCACTTGGCAGCTCACTTCCCATCTCATCTCCTCCTCTTCCCCCTTTCTTCCTCTACTTTGAGCACAATGCGATGAGGGCAGTGTGTTTCTTACGCTGACCCTCCAAGGTGCTCTGGGGCATGATGGGTGTGTGCAAGTGAGCAGGGCTGGGCGGGCACCAGGAGTGGGCTGAAGAGGTCCCCTCCTCCTGGCCTGCTTGGCTAGAGAAGGATAAGCTTGTTAATGACAATGACAGAGCCCCAGGAGGGAGGGTTAAGAGAACCGAGGCTTCCCTATGGTGGGAGTTTTGAGCAAGGTGTGGCACCCAAATGCAGGCTTTGGGGTGACACAAGCAGCCCTCTTCACCTCCCACCTTCTTGGTCTGCCCCTCCCCAGGAAAGACCTCTGTGCGTCATCCAGCCAGGTGTCCCCTCCCCACACCAGGCAGCTGACTAGGAGCTCTCCATCCCCCAGGGGATCCCACCTACAACTCCAGCCTGAACTAGCGCCTGGTACCCTGAGGAGCCCAGTGTAGGGGCAGTCTGGGAAGAGGGCACCACGGTGGGTGGCCATGGGCCCTGACACTGGTGCAGATGGAGCTGGGCCTTTTCATCTGCATGTATCAGGGCTTGAGACAAGTTACTTAACCTCCAACCCCAAGGGTCCTTATCCTATCTGTGGAATGCAGATCACCACCCCCTGGTATGGGCATGTTAGGGTGACTGAACCACAGGTGCTGTTATGATCGTGATGGTGCTGTGGTTGCTGACAGACTGGCTGAGGGAGGAAGGAGGCTGCAGCCTAGGCCAGGCCTGCTCCTCTGTGCCTTGCTCCATCCTTCAGCTGCTCCGGCTCAGCCCCCAGCTTCCTCACCCTTGTTCAGGGTCCTTGTCCCACAGTCCCCAAAGGGGCCCATCATTTCTGTAATTGCATTTCTCTGGCTTGGCACAACCATCAGCACCTAATGTCCCATGTCACTGCTGGGTCTCTGGCTGCAGACACCTCGCTCCTCCTTGGAGCTGCTCAGCCACCCAGGGCAACTGCATCTGGTCAGGAATGCCATGGTGGGGGTGGGGGCAAGAGGCAAGACCTTCCAGGGATACATGGGTGACAATTTTGTATGAGAAGACAAGGAACTCGTAGGTATCCCAACACCTTTCTACCCACTTTGGACATTCATCTTGCCCTTTCTCAACTTCCCCTTGTCTCCAGCGTCAGGGCCTTAGCCAGCTCCTCCCTGAAGAGCAGAGCCCTGAGCCCAGGGAGAGATCCAGGTCCCCCACTCCACTTGGCTCTGATGCCATGTTGCATTTTTCAGGACCAGTCTAGCAAAAAGTCAGGGCTGGGAAGGGTGAACTTGGACAAAGACTTGGAACCCAGTGGAGACCAGGGTCAAGGAGAGCTCACTCCAGCATCCATGTTACTATGCCCTGGGCTCAAAGTGGGGCTCCCTCCCCTGGGCTATCCAGTCAGGCCACTGCTGCCCCACTCCTGGCCTCAGGGCCCAAGGAGCTCCTGGGGCACTGAGAGCTTCCTGGGTGTTTGCATCCCAGTCTGGACCTCAGGTGGCTTCTGCTGTCTCCCAGGATGAGGCCACCAGAGCTGGGCAGTCTTACCAGCTCGCCCAGTTCAGGACAATAGATGGTTCCAGAGAGCCCAGAGCTGCCCCTGGAGAGAGAGTGAGAGAAGGAGACATCCAGCAGGAGAGGAGCCCCCAGCTGCAATCCTGCTCCCACCCTATTCCTGCAGCCACATTCCTGCCTCCTCCATGCCTGGGCTCCGAGAATGTTTCTTTTACCTTGAGCCCAGGGAGAGACACAAACCCTTTGTTGGTTCCTCTCAGCACTGCTGGGATCTGCTGGCATTTCCACAAAGAACTTTCATAAATACTGAGAGAGAACAAAAAGGACATAATTACAGAAAATACAAACAGCGTGAAAATAGTCAAGGTTCTAAAGTACAGGTTTCTCAGCCCCAGACAGCCACCCTGAAGCCTATGAGGCTGGCCTGCCCTTCCAGCAGGCCCTGGCTGGGACTCCAGCCTCCCTACAGGCTTGCTGGGCTTTCTGCTTCCCACCTTGGCCCCTGCAGGGCTGGCAGCCAGATGCAGTCCCAGCCTCTCAGTCCTAGCTGCCCATGTGAGGGTTTGCCTCAGCCACAGCTAAGTGTGTGACACAGTGAGCAACTCACCACTGAGCCCATGAGCACCTGCTGGGACAGGTGACACCCCCACGGCCACCCCAGGCCTTGTGTACACACAGCCCCACCCAGTCATGTCACTACAGGTATAATGGGGGTTGTTGGAGCTATTGTCCGATTCCCCACAGCCTCCGAGCTGTGCTGCTCCCAGTGGCAGATGTGTGGCGTTTGGGACACAACCCCGTGTCCGGGTTGACTGGACTAGAGCTGGCACCGGAGCCAAGCTGGTGGACCAAAGTCTGATGTTTAGAATGTCAGAGTCAGGGCCTACGGACAGCCTACGTGCGTTTTTTTTTTTTGTCTGTTACATGCACACACAGGAGCTGCGCCTGGTCATCTAGAGTCTTGGGGTCTTGCCCAGAAAAGGAAGCCTGTATGCTGGACTTGGCAGAAGAGCGAGATGGTGAGTTAAAATTCCCAGTGTCTGCTGACTTTCCTTCCTTGATACCAGTCCTCACGAAGGCTGGGCCACAGTCCTGCACTGAGACGTTTCTCATATCCTTTTAGTAAGTTGTGCTATTCCTTGGTTTTTGGTAACTGGCAACCTCAGAGTCTCAACACCGTAAGTGGGACAAGCACAGTAATGCAGCAGAGACTCACTCCCAAAGGGCCAATGCTAGCCAAGTATCAGAGACTTGCATAGGCAACTGAGAAGTCCCTTGGGAAGTGGGAAGAGGCTCCAGGGGTGCTGTACACACCTCCCCTTTGTATGACAGCTGTTGGAGTGCAGCCCAGGAGCTCATGCCTGAGCCTCTGCTTTCCTTCTTGCACTCCACTCTCAGAGTGCCCACGTCCACACACCCTCTGCCTCCATACATGGTAACGCACAACATATTCTGAAACCTAAATACAAACCCTGATTCAACCACTGATGAACCGTGTGATCTTAGAAAGTAGCTTCATCTCCCCAGCCTGGCTCCCCTTGTCCACTGCACGGCCACCCTGATCCCTTTGCACTCTGCAGGGTTCCTTTCACTGTTCCCTCCCTTGGTCCACCTCTCCCTCCTCCAGCCTGGCCTTTTCCTGCTCAGCTCTTGCCTTCCAACCAGCTCCCTTCTGACTCCATCCACTTCCACTTTCCCACCCCCTTCCCACAGTGCAGGGCCATCATGGGTGGGGTCATATGGGGTAAGCATGAGGTGTACATGGGGTCTTCGAATGGGATCTTTGACTATGATGCTCAGCCAGCCTCCTCTTTCAGACAGAGACCTCCCAAGGGCAGACATCCCATACCCATCTTCTTCTCCTAGACCTTTCCACGTGCCTGTGGGGGCCCAGCCCAGAAAGGGTGCCTGGAGGAGCCCTGTCCTGCTGGCTTGGTCCCTGGCTTCCCACTTCTCTCATCCTCTGACCTCCTGGCAGACAGGACAGCCCAGAGCCTTTGTTCCCGCTTAGCCAGAGGTATGGGTCCGCCTGCCCCTCAGCCCCAGCAGAGGAAAGGTACATTTCTGGCTGTCTCTTCCCCACTGCCTACCCTCCTTGCTCCTGCACCCTTCTCTCTGCGGGGGAGGCTGGCACCTCACCTGACCCAACCACCACATCCCCCCTGCAGCTGGCTCCTTCCCTTCTCTCCCACTCCTGGCACAGGCCCGGGACATCGTCCTCCCTCCACCACTGCCATCCACAGCCGCTCGCCTCGCCTCTCCCAGGCTTTCTGTTCCCAGCCTGGCTCATCTCCCCCAGGCAGCTGGGAGCAGGGCGCCTTCGATTTCTCTATTCAGTCTGAGGCGTAGCAATTTTCTGCTCTCCCGTAATTAGGGGAATTTTAAGCAAACTCCCCGACGGATGATTACAGCAGGTTCAATCCCGGCTCCTTTGATCAGGGAAGAATGAGGACGTTGTTGGAATATTCCTCGACCTGCTGGCCAGACAGGAGCCGAAGCCCACTTTCTGGCTCCCGGGCGCCCCCTAGAGGGCATCGAACGCACGGCATCTGAGTGTCCCTGGGTTCAGGAGTCTCCCCACAGAACTCAAATCTGCTTTATTATCACAGGCGTGGCTTCTCTGGCCTTGGGCTAATAGTGGGCACAGAACTAGGGTTGAGAGTGGTGATGTGGGTGACTTGGGTGTCAACAGCGCCATCTTCTAGGCATCTGTGAACAGTTGTGGAGGTGAACGCCACGCCCTCTAGGGGACACATTCCCACTGTAGCTTAATTGAATGGGGTTTCTCATCTCACGCTTGGCGGCTCGAACTTATATCCTGAAAGCTTGAGTGCCTGCCCCTTTCTAAAATGTCAGAGGACGAGACACCCCCTCAGAGATGAAAAGGCCTCTTGTCTACTCAGCCTACTTCCCAGCCTGCTGTGCCTGCCAACTGTGGTGTGGAATAACAGGAAGACCATGGCCTTTGGAGCAGCCCCTCACAGGGCGAATTCTGCTTCCACTATTTCCCAGCTGTGTGACCTTGGGTTTGTCAATGAACCTCTCTGAACGTTATATCTATCTTAAAGAATTATTTTGAAGATTAAAGAAGAAATGGAGTACAGCAATTTGGCCCCTAGTATTTGCTCAGTAAATACCACCACAGTTTTCCCTTTTCTGCCCAATTCACACAGTTCCTCTTAAACACCATCGGACTCCAGGGAAAACCTTATTCTCCTCTCCCTGTCCCTAAGGGCTGTGTCTCCCACAGAGCTGTGCTGGAGAGCAGACTGGTTATATTAGTAGACTACTAATGTCTCCATCATTCCCGAGCAGTGTGCCTGGCTTTTCCATAGGTTAGTTAGGCCGTATTTCAGAATAATTATGGCTGTATATTCCTACGCTAATTAAGTGGTTTTAAACTGTCTTCACGGTGCAGCTCTGTGAAACATAATTAAGCCTCACTACCGCGTGCCTCTCCCAGCCAGGCAGCCCCTCTCCCAGACCACTCTGGCCACTCCCAGGCACCAGAGAGGCTGAGCTGGAGCTGTGGGCTTAAAAAGGGTTCATTTTCTTGGGATTGTGTCAGGATTGCTCCCAATGAATAGTACATGAGGTTTTGCACTGTTCCTCCTTTGTTTTCACAAGGAGAACACACGCTGATGCAGGTTTATCTCCCTCTCTTTGCTGCTCTGTTGAGTGGATATGCATGGATTCCCAGGGGGTACAGCAGGGCGTGGGAGAGGTGCGCATGCGCACTCAGGCACAAGGGTTGCCTGTGTCAGTCCATCGTGAGCTTGTGGCAGACAGCTGTTGCTCTTCTTTACTAGGGACTTAGGTCTGACATCAGCCAGCAGGTTCAAAACTACTGACTAGCGAAAACAAACCCACCCCAAGACACCTGTTGGAGGCGGCTGGATCTATCTTGCCATTCCTGATGGTCTTGTTCTCCACGCACATTGTGAGTGAAGCCGCTCACACCGCATCTTTGCCAGCCCTCCTAGCTGAAGTCACTTCTACCTGAGTCATGCAGGGGTTGCCGTGGTGGGAAGACTAGTTTGGGGTCTTGGCTGTATCACTTATTGAGAAAGTCATTTGACCTCTTAAGCATCATCTTCCTTACATGGAAAATGAAAATAATAACCAGTGTCTCATGGCACTGCTGGGAAGATTAAATAAGGTGATAGGATGGTGACAATGACCTCCTGTGAGAAGGTGGCGAATTGCACCTGCTCTCCCATCTGTGGGGATGGATTCCCATGGAAAGAATCACACCCCTTTCTGGGAGTCCACTCTATGTTTGATGCTTGTGGGCCAATGTGTTGCATAGTTCATGAGGCCACAGAGTCCTTGGAGGTCAGAACCCCGGCCCTCACTCCAATAGCACCAACATTCACCACTCTGTTCTTCTTAAGCAGGGAACCCCAAACCCCTCTCACCTCCTCCACTGCAGAACTTGGAGAGGCCACCACGGCCTGTGCCAGTGGGAGGATAGACACACAGATGTTGGGAAAAGATATTTGGGATATCATTCCAGAAGCCTGGACTCAAGGCTTGTGGTCCTTGGACCTCGTGCCTTTCTGGCTTCCCTCACCCTGCTCCCTACAGTCCTGCCTCCCCAACTTTCTGGGGACCAGCAGCCAGGCAGCAAAGTAGAAAGAGGGTGAACCTCTCTTGTGCTTTCTTTTTTCAGAGAGATGGTCCCAGGCATTTTGAATAAAGCACTGATCAAGTAAGGACAGGTACAATACAACGACATCTGTGGAAGCTAGGGAGACACTCTGCTGTCCTCTGCAACAGGACAGGCAACTGGGGGAGTGGGAAAGAAGCAGCACTTATTTCACTTGGTTGTCACACACAGCCACCAGCTCCTCTGACAAGAGAACACTAAGTGAAGGTGCAGATAAACTGCACCAGGAAATTGACAGCCCTGGAGGAGGCCCGGGGCTCCTGTTGTGCTCCAGCCTGTGGGTTATGGCTCTGTTAGGCTCTATTGGAACAGGGAGGGAGGCAAATGTGTGGTCCATACACATAGGGAATGAGACACATTACCCTGTCTGGGCCAGCAGGGGAGAGGTGCTCAGAGGTGGACTCAGATTAATTGACATGGAGAAGAGATGCCTTATTCCTGGAGAAGATGCAGCTCAGATCCCTCTTTGCATTGAGGGAAGTGAGAGGACAGAGCAGGGGGCAGAGGCTCAGCCGCAGGAGCCTTGAGCAAGCTGGCTGTAGTGCACAGGTAGCCACACAGTGCCCACACAGCTCTGGCAGCAAGAACAAAACCTGTGGAAGATCTCAGCTGAGAGGAGAATCACTGCCACAGGAGGGGCTGGGCAAAGGTTGGGGAGCACCAGAACACGGACAGTGACCCCAGGCTATTGAGAGGGACAGTACTGCAGGGAAACACCCAGGACCATGGTGACCCAGGTGACAGAAATAGCTTCCCTTGTGTGTGGTCCATGCACTTGCCTCTTGGGCACAGGAAGGGGTGCAGGATGAGCAATCAGGCACTTACACATGGCCATGTATGTTCACACATCTGTGCATACACACCCAGGGTTATGGAATGTATGTTTGTGTACCACTAAAACCAACATGTTGAAGCCTCAACGTGCAGTGTGATGGTGTTTGGGGTGGGGCCTTTGGGAGGTGATTAGGCTTACATGAGGTCATGAGGGTGGGGCCCTCATGATAGAATTAGTGTCCTTATAAGAACAGACACCAGCTTGTGCCCTTTCTCCTCTTTGTCCTTGCCCATACAGGAGAAAAGTCCACGTGAGCTCACAGCAAGAAGGCAGCTGTCTGCAAGCCAGGAAGAGGCCCTCACTGCCAGAGCCCCACCATGCCAGGACCTCATCTAGATGTCCAGCCCCACCCCCCCCCGCCCCCCAACTGTTGTTTAAAGCCCCCGGGGGGAACAAGCTGGGTGTGTTGAGCTAGGCTCTGGTTGTGACCTCTCACTCTGGCAGTGCCCAGGAACTGGGTGACTGACGGATCTGGGGCTGGAGGGCCATGGAACTGGGGGCTCAGCATGGGGAGGGGCCCTGTTTGACTTTGTGTGTATTGAGCTTGTGGAATTGGGGTGGGGGGAACCAGATCATGGCCAAAAGGCCCCTGTGGGTTGGGATGAGCTCATGATTTTTCCCTAGTGTCCTAATGGAAGGTGGCCCCTGGGACTGCCCTCCTCATTGCTCTGGACAGAGAGAGGCCCAGCACCCCCGCCCTGCAGTGGACACACTGGCCACTAGTCTTCTTGGAACACAGGGCTCTGGAGCCACAATCTGGAGGCTCAGGCCCAGACTCCACTGCACTCTGCCCATGCCGCTTCAGCTCCCTGGCCCTCAAGTTCCTTCTGTGTGAAGTGAGCATAACAATAATGTCTATATGATATGGCTGTTGAATAAATTAAATAAAACCTCACATATAAGTTACTCAGCAAAGAGCCCAGCACACGATAGGCCCTGAAGACACATTAGTGGGGACTCCTCCCGTTGCTTTTCATCCCTCTCTTTTGTGACTACAGCATAGCCCAACTGGTCCTAGCTGGTTCCAAGTATGATAAACGCTGTGCATAAGGAAGTGAGAAGATAGACGTGTGACTGGCCACTGACTGTTTTAGATAGAGTGGGCAGGGATGGTCCCTGTGAGGAGGTTGAATCATCTGAACTGAGGGGGTTTTGGTTTTGATTTTTTATACTGGAGATTGAACCCAGGGCCTTCATGTTGAGCTACATTCCTAGCCCCACCCCACCTCATTTTTTGTGCATGACAGTGTAGTAATAAATTAGATTGCCCAGACTGGGCTTGAACTTGTGGTTCTCCTGCCTCAGCCTGCCACAGTGCTGGGATTACAAGCGTGCACCATCACATCCAGCTTGAACTGAAATTTGAATGCTGAGAAAGATTCGGCAGTGAAAACACTGGCAGAGGTGGGAAGGTGGAGCTGTAGAAGGGCATTTCAGTGTGGGGAACAGCAAGCAGAACAACCCTAAGAAGGGAGTCAGCTCAGCAGCTTCAAAGTCTGGGGAGAGGCCCCGTGTGACTGGGGCATAATAAATGAGGAAGAGTGGAGAGTGGGCTGGAGGCGTATTCAGGGGCTCAGGGCAGGGCCTGACAGAGCAGAGAAGGAAAGGCTGCTTCTGAGTAAGGGGACCAGGGAATGGCCCTTGGAATCGAGATTCTGGGAATGTCTTTCCCGGGCTTCTTGCCTTCCTCAGCTCTGGGGGACATCCAGGCAATGAAATCTGATATTCCATGGAACAATGGAGGATACGGAAGGATCTAAGAACTCTCCTAGGGACACAGAAAAAGAATAGGAGAAAAAAATATATGAAGTTGAGTGTGGAGGCACACACCTGTAATCCCAGCACTCTGGGAGGTGGAGGCAGGAGAATCACAAGTCCGAGCCCAGCCTGGGCAATTTAGCAAATTAGCAAGACCCTCTCTCCAAAAAGATTACATTAAATTAAATTGGGATGGGTGTTTAGCTCAGTGCAAAGGCCCTGGGCTCAGTAATGAAACCTGGTAATGAAAAGAAAATAAGAGATTTTGAGGACAGGAAATAGTATACTAATAAATAGGTACATGTATATCTACTATATGTTTCTGAAGATGAAATACATAGAAGGGAAATACATTTGAAAAAAGAAAAAGACTTTAGATTTTCCATTAAGTAAACATGTAAGTCCTCAGACAGAATGGGTGCTGAATAAGACAAAGGTGAGTGGGGGGAAAACATATTAGAGTGAAAGTTTAATCTTTTGTGCTACAAAATTTTTAGATCAATTTTAGGCTTATAGCAAAAATGAAGAGGAAGTTCAGAGATTTTTCCACCCACTCACTCCCACCTTTCAGCTTCCCCACAGCTAAGAGTCCACACCAGACTAGTCCTCTTTTACAATGGATCATCCAGTGTCCTTAAAATTCACTCCTGGTGTTATACAGTTATGGGTTTTCACAAATGTATGACATATAGCTAGCATTATAACATCACACAGAATAATTTCACTGCCCTAATTATCCTCTGCCTATTTATCCCTTCTCACCCCTCCCTTCTGAAATCACTGATCTTCTGTCTCCATGGTTTTGCCTTTTCCCAGAGTTGGAACCATCAGCCTTTCAGAATGGCTTCTTTCACTTGACGATGTGCTTTTAAGATTCCTCCACATCTTTTCATGGCTTGATAGATCATTTCTTTTTAGCATTAAATAATAATCTATTATCTGAATGTACCATAGTTTATTTGCCCATTCATCTATGGAAGGGCATCTTGGATCCTTCCAACTTTTGGCAATGGTGACTAAAACTGCTGTAAACATTTGTATGCAATGTTTAGTGTTAACACTAATTAATACTTTTAGTGTTAACACAATTTTTCAACACTGGGTAAACACCAAGGAGTGGGATTGTGGACTATATGATAAGAGCATGTTTAGTTCTGTAAGAAACTGTCAAACCGTCTTCCAAAGTAGCTGTAGCATTTTGCATTTCCACCAGCAATGAGTAAGAGGTCTTGTTATGACATATCCTTGCCAGCATTTGATAGTATCAGTGTTTTGGATTTTGGCTGTTGCCACTGATATGTAGTGATATCTCATTGCTGTTTTAATTTTCAACTCCTTCATGACATAGGAGGTGGAGCATCTTGTAATACATTTATTTCTCATCTGTATATCTTCTTTGGTGAGGTGTCTGTTCATGTCTTTTGTTCATTTTTAAGTGGTTTGTTTTCTTATTATTGAATTTTTGGAGTTCATTGCATATTTTGGGTAATAGTTTTTTATCAGTGTTATGGTTTATATCTAGATGTCCCCTCAATGCCTCATGCACGTGTAAGTGGAGCTTTTGGGAGGTGACTGGATCATGGGTGTGTGACACTCATCACTGGATTAGTCCACTGATGGATTTATAGCTAGGTGTGATGTTGCATGGTGAAGAAGCCTAGTGGGAAGAAGTGGGTTGCTGTGGGCATGCATATATATATAAAATCTCCTCTTCCCTTGATCCTGCTGTGCTTCCCACTGCCACACCATGAGCTGTTTCTCCTCTGCCAGGCCCCTCTGCCATGCTGCCTTGCCTTGGAGTCAGCTGACTACAAACTGAAACCTCTACAAACTATGAACTAAAATAAACCTGTCCTCCTTTAGGTTGTGGGTGTTGAGTGTTTTGTCCTGGCAATGAGATATGTCTTTTACAAATATTTTCTCCCGGTCTGTGGCCTGTTTCTCATTCTCTTGACAACTATTGTTTGCTGCACCATAACACAGCAGAAGGAGAGAGAGAAAGAGAGAGAGAGGAGAGAGAGAGAGAGAGGGAGAGAAAGAGACTGACTAGGTATTAGGTTTCCAGCACATAAAATTTGGGGGACATATTCAAACTGTACCATTGAGTTTATCAATTACCTTTTTTAATGGATTGTGCCTTTGGTGTTGTGTTTAAAATGTCATCATCAAGCTGGATGTAGCATACTGGGAGGCTGAGACAGGAAAATAGAAAGCTCTGGCTAGCCTGGGCAACTTCTCACCTTAGTGACTTAGCAAGACCCTGTTTAAAAAAAAGAAAAGAAGAAAGAACATATCTCTCCATCTATTTATTTCCCTGATTTCTTTCATCAAAGTTTTATAGTATTCTTCATAATTTTTACATATATTTTGATAGATTTATGCCTAAGTATTTAATTTTGGGAATGCTAATGTAAATGATATTTTTTTTTGTTTCAATTTCCACTTGTTCATTGCTGGAATCAAAGCAAGGTTTAGGAGGATCAAAAGCAAAAAGAGAAAGTTTCCATAGAAGAAAAAAAAGAGATCATCTGCAAATAAGAAGTATCAAAGTGATACTGGACTCCCCTCCTCACTCTTTTCTTTCTTGTAGGGATCAAATCCAGGACCTCTTGCATGCAAGGCAAATACTCTACTGCTGGGCTACAACCACAGCCCAATATTAGAAAGTATACCAATATAAGCCATCAGTTTAAAGTAGCAGTCAACAGTAAATATTTCAGGCTTTGTGAGTTGGTGGTGCCTGTCTCAACTAGCTCAACTTGGCCAGTGTTGTGTGAAAACAGCCGTAGACAATATGTAAATAAGTAGGTGTGGCTCTTTCCATTTAATATCTTTGTTAAAATTTGGTGAGGTGGTTCTGCTGCCTGCCTCGCAAGCACAAGGTCCCAAGTTCAATCCCTGGTACCAAAAAAAAAAAAAAAAAAAGATTTGGTGTGTACTCTACATTTTGCCAACTCTGATAAAAGTAATAAAGGAGAAAAGTTATAGTGTCTTTTAAATGTATGCAAAAAGCTTCTGATAAAGTTCAGCACCAATAAAAACATTCAAGGACTCAGGAGTTTTCTTAATTTGGTAAAGACTAGCTAACAAACTCTGCAGCAAATGCCACACTTCAAGAAGAAACTTTTGATGTACTATGATTAAGGTGGGGGAGAAAGAAGATAATACTCACTGTTACTGTATACCGTTCAACAGACTACTGAAGGTCCTGACCAAAGCAATGGTAGGAAAAAGAAATTAAAAATATAATATTGGAAAATCAGACATAAAATAGTCACTTGCAGATGATATAATAATTAGTGAGAAAACCCAAAAGAGTCAACAAACATTTAAGCCTGTTAAGAGAGTTTAAACTCAATTTGGTGGTCCATGTCTTTAATCCTAAAATTTTGAGAGGCTGAGGCAAGAGGATTGCAAGTTCAAGCCCAGCCTGGGCAATTTAGCAAGACCTTGTCTTAAAAGAAAAAATTAAAAAAGATTTGGGGATGTAGCTCAGTGTGAAGATCCTGGGTTCAATCCTTAGAACTTCAAAATAAATAAGTAAATGAATAAAAATTTAAAAGAGAGTTTAAGGAAGTTGTTGGATTCTAGATTAACAAAGAAATTTGAATACAAAAATTTAATATTGGGCCGGGGATTTAGCTCAGT